AGTGAGTTCCAGGACAGCTGGGGCTACAGGGAGATCCTGTCTCCAAAAGACCAATAAAATAAATAAAATAATAAAATAATAATAATAATGATAATAATAATACTCTTGGAAGCTGATGGCTGAGAATAGTCCTTACTTTCTTGTGATTGGGAGACTTGTGTGAATTTACCATCATTTTCCTCAATGCATAGCCCTTTGGAGTCATTCAATGTTTGTTTTGTCATCAGCCTGATCTAAGCTCTCTTCTGCCTGAGCTGAGTTTTCTAGTTGGGCCTTTTTTCAAGATTTCTCCTTTATCTTCTGGAATCCAGTTCTCAAGAAAGGCCCAATATCTCTTGTGGTGTGAAGGGAGGAGACACTATGCTGTACGAAGTGCACTTCTGATAGCCAGCTAAGGAACTTTCAGGATCTTTGTCAGATGGTCCTGTACCACTTTCCCTGATGAGTATACTATAACTTGGTATACCATATCGTCTTCTTCTTAGAGTTCTTGCCTTTCTTTACTATGGCTGTAAGTTTCTGAATCAAGAGATTTGACTTCAAATTCTATACCAAGTTGATCAGAACTAATCCTAATCAGTCACCTGAATGTTCATTTACACCATTGCTGAGATCCAGATTCAAGGGCTGGTCTGTGGAATCACCACTACTGTTTCTTTCTCGGCAGAACTCCCTTATCACACACAGCGCCAGACTCTCATCTGAAGGGAATACTATCAGATTTGATGCACTTTCTTTGCTCTTGCACAGTGTCTTTATGATCACTCCCACCTTCAAAGTGATATCCTGTTCTCACAATGTGCCAGTCTGATGGTTCTTGTTGACTGATTACTACCAAGTTTCTGTAGATCTCTGTATATATTTTCTTTTACAATATCATGAAGAAGCTTGGCATGCCAAACCAATCTCCTGGAAGATCATTTGAACAATATACAGTGGTATTGCTTTTTATCATATAATCTTTTAGTTATAATATACTGGCCAGGGTAAACTATAACCTCTTGCATAATGCGCCTTTATATACCAACAAATTCAAAATCTTCAAAAGCAATGGCTCTGCCCTGACATGGACCACTTGTTCTGAAGCTAGAGTCTGTGAGATGCTTACAGCACCATCAGTAGACACAGGCATGTTGGTATTGCACACTGACCTGGATCAGAGTAGAAAGCATGTTGTACTCTGTCCGCAGTTGTCTATCTCCAGTTATTGGGATGTACAACTGAGAGAAGGTATAGTTTAAATAACCCCAGTTGGAGACAAGTTAGGACTTAGCTTCTTCACTGAAGACTCAGAACTGACCAGCTCAGCAGGAGATGCTGACTCAGCTCCTCATCACATGGGGTGTTTCATGCTTGGAGTGCAGGTTGGGGTTGAAGTGTGTCTGTCTTTAAAGACACCCCAGTTCCCTTCACTGGATATAGGGAAGCCTGCTGCCCAGGGCCTCCGTGACCAGTCTAGTTGGGGGCCCAGACCACTGGAACTCTCCAATGCATGAAGTCCTATAAGAAAGGAGCTCCTGGCAAAGTGGCAGGACTTCGGCCCAAGATGGGGGGAACAGGGAGATAGAGGATAAGAGGGTTGCCCCTTAAGGCTCAGCTTCTTGCTTTATTTTCTGCTAGTTACACAAGGCTCTTCAGACCTCTGCTTTTTTATCTTTTACAAAAGCAATGAACCAGCTCCAGGAAGAATCCTTTACATAGTGTTATGAAATGTCATGGTTCAATTTATATTTTTGTGTTATTTTAATTGATGTGGGTTTTAAATTCAGTGAATGAGTGAAAGCAAATGCCAAGGTCTGCAAGCTAAGTAAAGCAAGGTGTGCTTAGCTGCTGAGTGCAGAAGCTGGAGAAGCCAGTCAAGCATAGCTAAGTCTTGTGGGAGGCCTGCCAGAGCAAGAGCCACATTGACTATGTACATTGCAAAAATCCATCTGGTTAGTGGCCTTCTGCAGATGTCACTTTCCCCCACATCAGCCTCTGGCGTGTTCTTGAGATGGAACACCAGGACTTTAATTGAGTTTCAGAGTACTGATAGAGAGATATTTGAGTTTGATGTAGGAAGTGGGAAGCAATCTGTAACCATTAAGACCATGTTGGAAGATTTGGAGAGATGATGACCTAGTTAACAATGCTAATGCAGCAGTATTGGAAAAGATCTTTCAGTGGTGCATCTGCCACAAGGATGACCCTCCTCCTCCTTAGTATGAGAACAAAGTGAACAGATGATATCCCACTCCTGAAGGCTGATAAGAAACACTTTTTTTTTGTCTTTTTGAGACAGGGTCTTCCTGCAGCCCCAGCTGTCCTGGAACTCACTATGTAGACTAGGCTGGCCTTGAACTCAGAGATGCGCCTGCCTTTGCCTCCCCAGAGCTGGGACTACAGGCGTGCGCTACCACGCCCGGCTAGAAACACTTTTTGTTACTGCAAATGATTCAGGCATCAAGGGTTTGTCTGGTGCTGAATACAGGACTATTGCCAATAAGATTCAAGGAGAACTCCTAAGATTTGTAAAACCTTCTGTATCAAAAATGACTTTATGAAGAGGAAGAAGCCTAGATGCATAAAGAGACTCAGTGGTATGAAGAGAAGTGACATGTGCCTAACGAACGCTGTAGCACTGTGGGGGTGTTCCAATACCCGCACCACTGTTTATATACTGTCAACACTAGACAGACGGTAGACAAGTGTGGCAGCCCATTGACTGCATTAGCTTAACACTGTCCTTGTCCCATGTGTAGTCAGTAGAGATTCCACACTGATGTCTCAGTTTCTTCTTGTGTGAGTGAGTTTCTTTAGTCTTTATTCTGAATAAAACTGTAGAAAGTGGACGTTTCCCCCTTTTCTGTAAAACGATTTCTGCTTCATTTATCAACCATTTAACTGTGCTTTTAAAAATTGACATTATCTTAAGTTTTCAAAGTAGAATTAGTAAAATATGATCTTTGTGAATTGGAAACTGGAAAAATGCAACTTGAAGTCAATGTTCCAAATGAAAGTGTTATTATTACCTTCTGGTATTGATTAGCTTGCATGTAGCAGAGACCTGAGGCCTTTTTTTTTAAAAGTCTTTTGAATGTGCTGCCTAGATGCTCGGTAACTACCCAGTTTGTAATTTTTTGGAGAAATGTAATTAGACAATTTGTTAGTTTTTCAATTAAAAAAGATACTTAAAAATCCATCCTGTTACTGGGTATGGTAGTGCACACCTTTAATCCCAGCACTCGGGAGGCAGAGGTAGGCAAATCTCTGTGAGTTCCAGGCCAGCTGAGGCTACAGGGAGACCCTGTCAAACAAACAACAAACAAACAAACAAACAAAACAAAAAACACCCTCCCCCTAATCCATCCTGTTGCCTTGTTAAGCCTTGTAACACCCTCCACCTGCTCTCCCCTCATCTAGGACTTGATCCATCTTCATCACAAATATACTTTAAGATTCTACACATTCACCAGGTTCTGGTCAAGAAAGGAGGCCTTAGTTTCAACAGGACTTCCAGTGCATCTGGGGAGGAGGTGTTAGCAGAGAGGGTACGGTACAAGCTGTGCCCATGTCCCACAAAGGCTGAGTGGTACTGAGGAGAGTCCCCTGGAGGAGGTTAGGGGGTCAGTAGTGGGGGACTGTAGGGAATGAAATCCTGAACAGCTTCTTTAAGCAGATGCTTCGGCCCCCCGGGCCCTGGGATGCATGGATTCACTCTTGCACTTCTCCTTTGCTGGATGCTGGGGACGCGGACTTGGCTTTTGGCCCCACCTCAGGCCCTCAGGACTTGCTGTGTGAGAATCTCGGTGCTGGACTCAGCCTCTGCCGTCTCAATGCTCCCCGCGGCCCAGGTGCCCAGTCTTCTGCAGGCCTCAGGGCGCCCCTGGCACCCCAGCCTCTGTGCACGCTGCCAGGAACCCGGAGAAGCTCCGCCTATCCTCGCGGCCCCGCCCCGGCTGTCAAGCGCGAGCAGGCCCCGCCCCCGCCCCGCGGGCAGCGTCCAGGCTCTGCCCTCCGCCCCTAACTCCGGACCCTCGGCGGGGTAGGGATTAGAACCACCGGCGGCCCACGGACTCCAGCGTCCACCCCGAAGCAGGAGAGCGACATGGCGGCCCCAGCTAAGCTGGAGAACCTGTCCCTGGTGGTGCACGGACCCGGGGACCTTCGCCTGGTAAAAGGGGAAGGAGGGTGGGAGGCCACCCGCCCAGCCTCGCCCCTCCGCAAGCCCAACCGCGGTCCTCAACCCCAGTTCCTGCCCGGCCTGAGTTCCCCGCCCCCCCCGCTCCCGAGGTGGCCTGCACCAAGTGCGCCCTGGCTGCCTTGATTACCCGGTTCCTAGTTGGTTACCAGGGTGGGGGTGGGGGTGGCAGTTAGCGGTTATCTGTCTCTAGGAAGGATTCTTGTTGAGCGTGTGCTGGAACCTAGTAGAACCTAGCCCGATGCCTGGCGCGTGGTCTGCGCAAAGGACTGTGTAAAACGGATCAGAGTTTTCCACCTCCTTTACTAAGTGAATTCATACAACAGCCTCTTGTCACTGCTCTTGTAGGAAGAACTAGAAGGAGGCTGTCTGAAAACAGCCAGGCTGCCCCTGTTTCCTCTGGGTAAACAGTGCAGGGTAGAAAGCAGAGCAAGAGGACATTTAAAAGCTGCGAGATCTCTCTTAATCTTCTTTCTTTGGGATTGATAAAATCCCCTTGCAGAATTGTTGTGATCATGTGCAGACCCAGCATTCAGTACGTGCTCACAGATGCACTTTGAAGATGTAGCTTATCTCTCATCTCCCTTAGTCCACATCTGGATCACTTTCCAGCCCTTAGAATATTCTGTGTACTTCTCCCTCTGGTTTAGACTTGCCTCTACCCCCTGGAGTGGGAACGAAAGTTCAGGCAGCAGCTGAATCATCCTTATGGTCATGCCAAAGTGCCTTTGACAAAGTCCATCTCGGATGGGTACGCAGTATGTGGCTGGGTACCAGCCATCTCTGCTGCTCCCCAGACCTTCCCCTTCAGAGACCAGGGGAAACTCATTAACCAGAGTAGTGATTGTTTATTAAGAATCTGTCCTTGGTAGTTCTTCTCTCCACAAAATGCAGACAGAATGAATTTGGAAACAATTTGTTTCAGGCTTCTTTTAATTCACTCTGTAGACCTATCCACCTGTGGGTTCCAAAGGAAGACCCTTTGCCTGGAGCTGACACTCCACTTCCTCATTTGAAGAAATTACCATCCCCAAAGTAGTTAAAGGAGTCAAGATACAAATTCAGATTCAAACTCCTTTTCTAGTGCTGTTTCCACTCACCTTAGAGCAGCCACCAAACATCTTGAATTAAAGCGACACTATCATTGTTACACTAAATGGCAGTTGGTATTATGAGGAACAGAAGGCAGCACAGCTTAGAGAGTGATTGTGAGCTTAGCCCTTCGTACCACTCGTATTTACCAGATGAGTGGACGTCTGCCAAGGACACAGCCTCTGCTCCCAAGCATCCCAAGGCAAGGAGACAAATGAAGTAAACCATTATTGTCATGTCCTGTACAACAAAGAATTGGGGAAATTGTGGGTAGCTGAGCTTACCTGTACTGAGCAGAACAGTGGAGAGCAAGGGAGAGTACCTGCAGGTCCCACAGGCTCTTCCTACTCCTTCCTGGGCCTGAACTTCTCTCAGTTCCTCCGTTAACTTCCTCCTCCAACCCCATAGGTTACCTCTGTCCTTCATCTCTTTTCTTAAGACAGATTCAGTAGCATGGGGTTGGGTTGGTGGTACCAGCAGAGAACCAGAGGCAGCTGCAGGGAGGAAAAGTGTTGGGGAAGCTTTGAGAAGAAGGGACCTGTTCTCAAGGGACCTGTTCTCAATAGGAGGACCATGACAAAACCTAAAAGGTCCTGAGCATAGTGGATTAAGTGGTAGTAACATTTAAAACCTATAGGCTGGGTTGGATATGAATTACAAAACAGGGAAGGGTGAACACATGTTTTTCCTTTTTGATATAAGACCACACAACCACAAATTATAGGTCCTTCCACTCCTGGCTGAGCGGAGAACTGAAGTCCACCTCTTATTTGGATGGACTAAAAGCAGGGGCTGCTGATAAAAATGGCCCTTCCATCAGGAGCTCATGTAATGGCAGTTGTTTGGAGAAACACCCATTCCTAAAATCTGAAGCAGGATTCCAAAGTGTTCTGAAGGGAAGAAAGGCTCAGGTCTTCACATTGCTACCTTCCTGCTTTGGGTAAGACCAGAAACCGGCCAATGTCCAGGCCATGTGTGGAAAAATAGGATCTGGGTCACTTTACTCAGGCAAGCAGGAAGAAAATCTAATACCCAGTCTCCCTTCTGTCTGCCAGGAAGACTTGATTCCCTTTTCCTTGCTGCAGTGTGCACGCAAAAGTTAAAGACCTCCCATGTTCAGATAGTAGTCACACAGCAAAAGAGAGAGCATTTGTAATTTGCGTGATAAATCAGAGTGAGAGATGGGGTGTGTTTGTGTGTACGTGTATACACAAACACATATAAGGGGAGACTAGTAGGTATGTACATAGACACATATTAGGAGAGACTGGTAGGTTTCCTTCATAATGAGGGAAAACAAAACAAAAACCCAGATTTCTCCATTCTGAATAGATTCTGGAACTTAAGGAAGCAAGAGAGAGAAGTAAGCAAGCTGATGCCCTAGGAAGAAAGCTGACCATAAGCAAACAGTGTCAGGTCTCTGAAGTCTTCTTGAAAAGGAAATAGTAATAAGGTCAAAGCCAAGGTGGGGGGCCTGGAGTAGAGTTTAGTCCCAGCTCCATTGCTGTTAGTTCTGTGGATCAACATGTTTTTCCTGTTTTAATTATCTTTTCTTGAAAAGGGGGAGCCAGGCCTGGTGGCACAGGCCTATAATCCTAGCTTCTCAGGAGACTGAGACAGGAAAATTGAAAGTTCAAGACCTGCCTGGGCCACAGAGTAAAAGTACAAAGCCAGGGGCAGAGTGCTTACCTAGCATATAGGAGAACTTAGGGCCAATCCCTAGTACCAGAAGAAAGGAAGGGAGGGAGGGAGGGAGAGAGGGAGGAAAGAAGGGAGGGAGGAACAGATGGAAGGAAAGAAAAAAGAGGAGAGGATAGGATTGTATTCATTTCAGTTTGGTTGTGAGATTCAATGGAGTTGTACATATAAAAGCCCCAGCACAGTCTCCCACACATCCTCACTGGTATATGCTAACTGTGGAGTTAGGCAGAAGGCCAGAACCCTTAAACCATCTTAGCATGAAGAGATGGATAAAGGCTAAGACCTTCAAATGTATGGAAGTTAGGGCCAAATTTTTAGAATGTGGGCCAACAAGGCAAAACTTTGTATTCAACTACAGCAGTTCAACTACTTTATGCTGCTTTGTTAAGTCTTGAGAAATCCAGAACTTGTTTTTCTTTATTGGTAAATAAATTACTGGTTCATGAAGTTGGGATATGAAACAACTAACTTTGTTTTTCTGCGCAAAAATTTTGTTTGGTATTGGGGGTAGTTGGGTGGGGTTGTGAGTTTTAATTTTATTTTTTGTGTTGTAGACTTTATGAGAATGGTAAGGAAACTCAAAAAGGATCAAGATATTAATCACTTACTGCATTCCAGCCATGTGCTGGATACTTTAGTATGGCGCTTCACAAACTACGCTTTATTTTTTTTTAATATTTTATTATTTTTATTTTATGTGTATGCATGTATTGCC